TATATATATTAAAGAAATATACAGCCATCACATTTTAATATCTGATATTGAAAAAAAGCAACTTCTATCATAATTCCCAAAATAAAATTACGAAGAAATATCTTCTTTACAATTATATTACACTTCATGATTGGGATGAGCTTCAGGCTTCTCCAATTTTCAGGTAAAGACACTCATAAAGTTTTAATTGAAGTTCGTAATTCAAGACTTCAAACACTTCAAACACTTCAAACACTTCAAACACTTCAAACACTATACAAAATTGAAAAAAAAAGCACACACAAACAGCAACTGTGCATCCCACGTTCTCAAACAACCAGAACTAACCCCGGCAGCGGCCGACCCCTTAGCTCCCGACTCTTCCACACTGTCTCATCGCCCAGCTTCCCCAAAACCTCGCCGAGCTCCCGGATCGTGACACACGTATTGAAGTACTCCCTAAACTTAGTGATAACCCCGCCGTCGACCAGCCACACGTGCACCCAATAGCTATCCTCCTGGCGGTTCAACCCCCACCCTTCGGCCACCACCCACTCCCCCACCTTCGCCACCCGACGCGGCACGAACCGGAACCTCTCGACGTCGACGCCGGTGAGAACTTGCATCATGTGATCGCGGCCCGGGGGGCCATGGAACCACCAGTCGACGTTGGGGGCGAGAAGAGCTGTGGCTTTACTTTTGTTGCCGAGAGAGAGGCTGTTGTATAGCGTTAGCACCATGCGTTTGTTTCTTGCCATCAGGATTGGAGGAGAGTTTGGCTGAATGAGTGGTGGGGAGGGGACTTTATAGTTGTTTCAGTGGGTTGGTGCTTTCTAACTAAAATTTTATGAGAAAATATTACATTCGATCGCCATCACTAACCATCAGATGACAGCTCGGCATGATCGGACACCGCAACGCGCATATTGAGGACAGTCGAACAAATATAATATATTTTTTTAAATTATTATATTATAAAAAATAATAAATTTAAAAGTGACAAAATCACGGCAATGTGACTAAATTGTCGGGCTAGCCGATTTTATTACCAGGTCACATATGACGCCAACTGGATCATCGAATTCATCACCTTTATAATTTTTTTTAGAGTTAAATCTAATTTTATATTAAAACAAAAAAAATAATGTTTACCGTATATTTTTGAGATTATTTAATCTATATTGAGATGAAAAGTATCTGAATTTTATTGAATATTTTTTATAAATTATTCTTATTTTAAAATAAATTGTTTTATATTTTCATAATTTAATTAAAAAGTCTTGACAAACTTTTTTTTTTTTTTTTTTTGGTCGTGTTATCTTGAGATGGATGAGTGGCTTGACACTTAGGGTATGTTTGAAGTAGTTGCAGCTTATTAATAAGCTACTGCGTAACAACTGCACCAAAAAGCTGTTGTGAATAGAATAGTTGACTGTTTGTTTATTGTTGTTTGAAAATTCTTAATTTTATCTCGAATTGGATCTTTGTGAAAGAAATTTATTTTTCATGTGTATCTAGCCATATGGATGTGTTCAACTTACTTAGATGAAGGTGTATGAACAAACCATATTTAATTTAGTTGAGTATCGAGCGAGATCTTATGATTAGAAAGCAAACGGTTCAAGGGTTATGAACACTTGGGGATGATGAACGGATGTTGTCCATTTGCGCTTGTATCGAACGGACTACGGGAATCAGGTCGGACGGAGCTACGAGACATGAACTGCTGGCCGAGTCAGCTGCTGAGGTGTAAAGCGTCGCGAATCACCGGGGGACGTGGGAGTTCGGAGACGCTGAGTTTGGCGCGACGTTGAGTCGGACAAGTAAGGAAATTAGGGTTTTCTAATTTAATTCGACACAAAAAAAATGATATTTAAATTAAAAGATTCATCTATTTGCGCACAAAAATTATAAAAATAAAATAAAAGTACTTCTGTGTTCAATAAACAAGAATTTAGTGGATGAAAAATAAAAAAAATATATATTAAATATTTTATTTTAAATTAATTAAAACCCTAGAGACAAATTTAATTGTAATTAATTAAATAATTATCATAATTACATACAATTTTCAGAGCTTATTCCTTTTTGTATTTTTTTCAAAGTTAGAGGACACACCTAGCATCAAAAGCCCTTATTTTCGAGAAAATATAACCGTGTTTTAATTAAAATAATGTAAACATCAGAAAAATATAAAATCAAATTTGTTGTGCTCACTATGATTAGAGGACCTTAGGAAAAATAAAAATGTGATTTAAAATTAACTTAAAAAAATTCAAAATTTCTCTATTTAGTTATTCATTAAAATAAACTGAAAAGTTATAAAAATAAAAAAATTAATTTAAAAATTCATAAAAATTATTCAAAGTGGTCCTCTAACCCATAGGAACGCACTTGAATTTTTCTAAGGATAGAAGATACATGTTGATTAATTAAATTAATTAACAACATAAATTTATAATTATGGACCAAAGCAATTATAAAAAATAAATAAAAATCAAGAGAATCTAAACTCTCCACTAATGTTTCAATTAATTTATGAGTAACATGTCAACAAAGTCTTATGATCATTTGAGTTAAACTAAAAGAGTTATGCGGTAAGAAACTCTAGGGGTAAAATTGTAATTTTGGAATTCTGTACTCTATTAATATTTAGGTTAAACCAAAAGAAAAAGGTATTATTTATGATAATTAATCTTCTGAGATGATTGAAACACAAGGATAAAAGAGTAGAAACCCATTCACATTATTTTCTACCAAAGGTCATAATTGTAATCATTTAAACTGTTGAGGATTGAAAGATAATTAAGTTTGAATGATCGAAGTGTGAGGAGGCACAAATTAGGAAGTCAATAATTTACTAATTCGAAGCCTCAATCCAATGGTTAAGCAAAATTCAATTGTTGAATGAGAATCAAACATACATCATAAAACTTTTTTTTCAAAATTACAAATTTATCCTTAATAAATCTAAGAGCTTGGTAGTGAGCTATGCTTGATCTAAAGTCATTTAAAGAGGATTAGGAAAAGAACATAATTTATCATAAGCATTTCTAAAACACTATAAGCTCAAGCCCAATTGAGAAGAGAATAAAATTTTATAAGTGATTAAGCTTTCCCCTAGGGATGACGACCCACATAAATCTCAAGGATAACACTAAATAAGTGACTACTTGCCCTACTCATGAGTTAACTAAAACATGAAAATTGAGCAAAATTAAAAATATTATAATGAAACATTAACTTAATTAGGGTTGATCAATTTCAAAATATAGTAAGGCTAAATGAACTTGAAATGGTCCAAGAGATTCTAAAGTTGTTTAGGGTCACTCCCCGAGCACCGTTACAAGATTTTGTACATTTTAAAGGACATTTGGGAATACCTAAATTTGTTGAAGAAAATTATCCTCAAAACCTTAGGGATCCACCAAGATATGATTCAAGACTTTTTTTTAACTTAAATAATTAATGAAAACACCATCACTACCTATCCTACAGTTAAACCCAATGCTCTAGGATTTGTACTTGAACATTACACTCAGATTCTCCTGACAATTGGATATATTTTAAATATTACATATATAGCACTGGGCTAGTGTAAGTTGGCGGTCTTGGTGGTAAGAGCGATGATGAGAACAATATCTAGGTATGCGAGGAGTAATGTATTTTCAAGATTTGTTAGGAAGACCACCCTAATATGCCAGTGTGTATTTGCAATCCTTGTAAAGGCTAGCAAAAAAACTATAACAATAGTCATGCATATGAAAAATTTGGCTACACTATAACCCTAGTTCAAAAAAAGCACCTTTTGGATGTTGCATAAACATACATCTACATGATAATCATGCAATCCAAAGGGTAGATGGTTTTTCCATTGGATCTTAATGGGGCTACCGAAACCACTGTCCCTGTTCAGAGCATTTGAGTGAATTAATATCTGTCACATAGGTGACGAATGTTAATCTAATCCTATACTTGAAATGATCCTGCAAGATCTAGTAGTGATATAACATTTCACATTACCCTCTTGGATCAATTGACATGTCCTGCGCATCTTCTTCTTACCACCACAAATATTAATAGGCTTAAACTAATAACTTGTCACTAACGTGTTGACTTATATAACCTATACCTATATGAGAGAAAATAAGTATGTCACTTGGACAAAGTGAAACACACGGCGCATGAATACATGAAATCGGTATTTGATAGAGGCCTAAATACCGATTTCCCATGCGCTATGCCCCATGATGAGAGTCCGCGCCATGTGCCTAAATATTCGAGAACTTAGCACTACTGAGGATCGAACTTGTGACCTGAGGGGACTTACAATGAACCCGCTGCGCGCGCATACACACACACAGATATATATATATATAATATAAAAAGCCTTACTTGCTCTCGCCTAGGATGCCAATAACATGTCCAACATATTGGAACTCCCGTAAATTTTGCTGACTTCAAATTCTTTTTGATTGATTACAGAAATATGAAGTAGATAATTTTGTCATGAATTTCAGCCAAACTAATCCAAATAGGAGTCGGCATTAATTATTCCATATTGCCAAATACTATTAACGTAGAATTATTACCCTGTCACTTGTTAGAGTTAGATAATTATTATCCTCTCACGGTATTTTAATGTAATTAACGTGGGGCTTAATTAGCGGGAAAAAAATGCACTATAAACCTATGATTAAGATAACATAAACGTCAGCCCTCATAAAAAAAATAGTTATTTTAAAATTTTCGATTAATTAAATACTTAACTATATTTATTCAATAATCTAAGCAATGAAATTAATAATTTTTTTGAGTGGCTAAGATTTTTATGTGGGTAATATCTCAAGTATTTTCAAAATAAATTTTTAATTAATTAATTTGAAGAAGTTAATAAATAAAAATTATAATACTCAATTTTCAATACTATTTTTGGTTCTTTCAATAATGGAAATTAAATCTCAGTTTTAATTATGATTATATTTTAAATATAATTATCGAAAATGTATATTACAAAATAAAAAATTTTCTGATTTTAATTCAAATCCCAAATTATAATGAACATAAATTTTGGATGAAGTCTAAATAATTTTCTAATTTTAATAGGATTTTGAATGTAAATTCATTTATTTAGTTCTTTCAAAACCTAAGAAATTCAACTTAAAATTTTGAATTTCATTTATAATTATAAATAGTTTCATAATAACCTCAAGAAATCAACCTAAATAAAAATTATCAGTACGTTGTGGTTCAAATGAGGAATAAAAGGAAAACACATTGCGTTTGGAGTCCGGGCGTAAAGCTATGTCCGGACAACATATACGATCCACCGAGAGTTGCGTCCAGAGCATATTTTCTCGAATAAAAGAGGGAGCAATGTAGTATACGAAAAGGATGGGGGCAACACTCATATTCATTAACATTAAAAATCCTAATTTCTTATTCTTATTTTAAAATAATAAAATGCACAAATAATACTTTTATTATATCACATTAGATATAACGATGCAAATTTCCAAAAATATATATTTTAAATTTAAATGTATCCAAAGTGGTAAAATCAGTATTAACCAAGTGATTAAAAAAGATCGATATAGTTATTATGAAAACAAAATAGTAATTACTTTATTAGGACCCACCATGGCCAAGAAAAAAATAATTAATAATTTAAGTTATATGTAATTAAGGGCATTTAACAAATTGGTGGCCCGGGCATATGCAAAGGCTACCATGAAAATTTTAATATTTACATTATAAA